ATAATCAATTTAATAATGTTATCGATAATGGTCAACAACTTTGATTGATCTAATGAAGGTGTGGTTCAATATACTCAGATACCAAAAAGGAATCAAACGGTATATAAAACGTGTGTAGGTGTGAGCGAGTACATATGACTAATCGAAAGGGGGAAAAAGAAAGAGCAACTACTTTCTCACATGGACTAAATGCCGAAAACACCAACCTCTCTACTGCCTTCCTTAGGTCGATATCGTCGTCCCTAGTGAAACAGATGTTCACCATGAGATCGAATATAATTCTTTTCTTTTTGTACCATCCGTTATTTATATTACTATGCTAAAATACGTATTTCCGAAATTCGAAAAAAACTTGTATTTCTGAGATTAAAGTTATTTTGCTCCAATCAAGAGATTTAATATTCTCAAAGCATAATTTCTCACCAAAAAAATATAATTAAAAATGTTAAAGTGCAAAAATAATAATATTTTTCAATTTATTACTTATATCCAAATGACTTTGTTAATATTATCTGCATACATTATATTTGCTATTAATAATTGATATATAAATGATAACAAGAAAATATTTACAATACCAAAATCATTATATAAATGGTTTGTATAAAAGTTACCATGAAAGTGAATAAGCGCAAAACATGATAATAGTGACTATTTTTGAGCTCGTGTTGTTCTCGGATCGCGTGTTGCGCGTTAATGTTGTAAATATTTTCTTATTAGTACTCTCCGCGATTATCTTTCACGTGCAGACAATCCACGAGCTAAGAAAACGCTTCTCGAAACTGAAACAGCTGTTTAAATCGTTTTCCTACCTTTTGGCCTTCTTGAGAAAATCATCGCCGCCTTCCAAAAATTTTTTCAGCGTGTTCGGAATACGCGAATCTATCGCCGACACAGCGATAATGTCACCTCCCTGCTTCAGCTGGACTCCAAGATGCTGCGGGCCTCCGGTTTTGTTTGTAAATTGAACGAACCTGCAAAAATATCATAATTAGAGACATAATTAACAAGAAAAGTTGCGAAAGTCGGTCGGCATATTTAATGGGAGTTTTGTTACGTCGCGTGTGACCTGGATTTCTAACTACAGCGCTTACTTTTTATCAATTTGTATTTGTCATAAAAGCGCAGCGATCAATAAAATATAATAAAGTAAG